CAGGGGTGACGCGGGGCTGGGGAGAAGCCAGAGGATGGAGGCATCACCCAGCGCCGGGACAAAGCTCCCTTGTTGGGCTGGGACGTGCCGAGACACCCCGCGGAGCAGGTCTGAGCAGGGAGCTGGGGAAGAGGTGCTGGAGGGGATCCCAGGTTGGGAATTACAGCCTCTCCCTGTCCCCCAGCTGCGGGAAGGCACCACGGCTGCCATCAGCCCCCACCTCCTGAGCGCTGAGGATGAGGACTCCCCGGCAGAGGAGGTGACCTACTCCATCCAGCCCCCTGCCAACGGGAAGGTTGTGCTCAGGACAGCACCCAGCGCTGAGCTCCAGCAATTCACCCAGGCCCAGATCAACAGCGGCCTCGTCCTCTTCGTGCATCAAGGTAGGGCAGGGCTGAGGTGCTGCTGTCCCCCCTGGTGCTACCCCCAGCCCAAGGGAGGGGACACCAGCAGAGGGGAGCGCTGTGCCACCGAGGTGGACACTGATCCCATCATACAGCCCCCCTGGTGCAAGCTGTGCCAAGTTAGGGGGTGGGGCTGCAGCCATGAATGCCCAGCTCCATGCTTTCTGCAGGGCCCCTGGATGGAGGCTTTGCCTTTGACCTGTGGGATGGTGAGAACCTGTCTCCTGGACACTTTTTCCTCGTCAGGGCTCAGAGGGAGCCCCTCATCAGCCTGGCCAAGAAGCAGAGCCTCACTGTCTGCCCAGGTGGGTACAGACACACACTGCCCAAACCCTCAATTGGGTGGCAAACAGGGCCCTTTGGACTCTGCTCTCACCCTCTGCCTGCACCTGGGGGTTGTCATGAGATGCCCATGGCAGAGGCAAGGCTACTGGTTGAAGCCCATACTGGATGTGTTCTGCAGGTGGCCTCCAGCCCATCACCAGCCAGAACCTGCAGGCAGTGACCAACAGCCCCACCAGCTCCAGCACCCTGTACTACAGCATCGAGCAAGCCCCACGCCTGGGCAGGCTCAGCACCTCCCAGGGAGAGGAGATCAGGAACTTCACCCAAGCCCAGGTGAGCTGTTGCATCACCAGTCCCCCAGGATCCTGAGGTCTCTCCACCTGAGCACACTGCCACCATGGGCAGAGGGCCTGGTCCCTGGTTACAGCCACACTGACTTTCCCAGCCCTGTCAACAGCTGCTAAAAAGGATTACAGGCCACTACCCTGGCCACTAGCCTTGGATTTAGCACTGGAGGAGGCTCAGGGAGCTCTAATCCCCTTTTCTTGAGGTGACCTCCCTGCTGCAGGCCCAGCCATACCCACTGCTCCCAGCAGGTCCTTCCTACCATGCTACTCCTCCACAGCCAGGCTTTTGGAGAGCACAGCAAGGGGCTTATTTCTGACCCTCCCTCAGAAGCACAAAGGTTTGCCCCACCACATGCTCCCCTTGTGCTGTGCTCACCCTCAGGAGATGCTGAGCAAGACAAACCTCCTGGCAGAGCTCTCAGTGGTGGCTACCATGCCATGGGTGGTGATGACCCTATTTCTTACCTAATTAAGGCTTGGCTGCTCCTTCCTGGAGCCAAGGAAGAGCCCAGGATGGACACACTGACTCTAGCAAAGCATCACCAGAGGTGCCTCTGGTGCTAAAGTGCCCATCACACCAGAGAGGAGACATGGTAATCACCCACTCCAGGTTATTTTACCATTTAGCTGACCTCCTTGAGATTCTCTTTTTTTATTTTTAGGTGGACAGTGGGTTAATTTTCTACCAGCACGAGATGCCAGAGAAGCCCTTCTGGCTTGCCCAAGATGCCATCCGCTTCCGTGTGGTTGCTCCCACCACCATCTCTGACTCCTTCATCCTCCTTGTGCTGATCTCCTTCGAGGCCAGGTGTCCCCAGCTCTCAACTCAGCTGTGGAGAAATGCAGGTAAAGGAGGGGAGAAGCAAGGGACAGCAAGCTCTCCTGAAGGGAGCTTGTTTGTCCAATGAAGACATGACCATGTATTAAGTCCAAGTGGATTTTCTTCCCTCTCTTTCTTTGCAGTCCTCCTTTTCCTGCTGTATCTTGCTTGCCTGGGTCTGCCCTCTTCCCCAGCAGGTGCTACCTTTTCCCCAAGGATGACAGGCCTTTTGGGTCTTCTCTTTTCTCCCCAGGTCTCCAGCTGGCAAGGTCTCAACAGGCAGAGATCAGCACCTCAGTGCTGGATGCCTCCAACCTCCTGAGCCAAGTCCCAGTCCCTGAGAGGGCTGCACATGATGTTGTCTTCCTGGTGACAGGGCTGCCATCTCATGGGCAGCTCCTGGTGGCTGGTGTGTCCCTGGAGCAGTCACGGCCGTTCTTCCTGCAGTCAGACCTGGCTGCAGGGCACCTGGCTTATGCCCACAGTGGGGACAGCATCTCTGCAGACCATTTCAGCTTCAAGGCTTGGCTCCGACCCCAGGCACAGCAGTCCATCCGTCCTCCACAGGAAGGGGTGATCATCTCTGAAGCTTTCAACATAACTGTGACCAGCAGCAACAAGGCACCACGTGTGGTGAAGAGGCAAGAGGTGCTGCGGGTCTTGCCAGGCTCCGTGGTGACCTTGTCCCAGGAGTACCTGGACGTGGCAGACCCCTCAGGCTCCCCAGAAGAGATGGTGTACAGAGTCCTCCAGAGACCTCTCACTGGCCATCTGGCCCATGCACACAACCCACGGGAGCCCATCAGCCACTTCACCCAAGCAGATGTCAATGCAGGCCACGTGGTGTTTGTTGCCACCAGGAGCCGTGGCGCCCCAGGGTCCTTAGCCCTCAGCCTCTCTGATGGGCACCACTTGCCCACCTTGACCTCACTGGAGATCGAGGTGCTGCCTGTGGTGAGCACCACTGCCAGCCCAGCGCTGCTGGAGGTGCCCCAAGACCTGAACAGGGCCACCATGTCCCACCGTCACCTCCTGGGAGCCACACAGCCACGGGCAGGCAATACCCTGTACAGGATCACCAGAAACCCAAGGTTTGGTCAAGTGCTGCTCAACCAAAAGCCAGCACGGGGCTTCTCACAGAAGCAGCTGGACCGTGGGGAGGTGACGTTCACCTTCACCGACCTCACCTCTCCCGAGGACAGCTTCCAGTTCCTTGCCACGTCCCAGGCAGCCAACAGGACCGGGGTGGTGAACGTGACTGTCCGTGCCTTGGTGAAGGCTCAGGCAGGCAGCGTGTGGCCCAGGGGCACCACAGCCCTCCTGGACACCCGTGTCCTGGACGCCAGCGAGCTGGCCAACCGCACCAAGAGCCTCCCAGTCTTCAAGATCCGCAGGGCGCCCCGTGCCAGCCGCCTCGTCAGGGTCTCCAGGGACCCGGGGCAACCCACCACCCCCATTGAGACCTTCAGCCAGGGCGAGCTGGAGCAAGGGCTGGTGGGGCTGGAGGTGCTGGATGCTGGGGAAACCGAGGAGCCCCTGCAGAGTGACAGCTTCGTCTTTGAGCTGGTGGCCGCTGGGGTGCCACCAGGGCTGGCGTCCCTGGGGTACAGCACCGAGCCCTATAACTCCTCCAAGGCCTACGGGGTCACCCTGCTCACAGCCCCCCTGGCACCCTCAGCCCCACTGCCCCGGGGCACAGCACGGAGCAGCCCCAATGCCAGCGAGCTGGGCATGGCCCCCACTGCCTGGCCAGGCAGCAGTGCCACCACCAGCCCCGCGGAAGGGGGCACCTTCCTCAGTTTCATCGAAGCCAACATGTTCAGTATCATCATCCCCATCTGCCTCATCTTCCTCTTGCTGGCCCTCATCCTGCCCCTGCTTTTCTACCTGCACAAGCGCAACAAGACAGGGAAGCACCATGTCCAGGGCACCCCCTCTTCCAAGGCCAAGAACGGGGCTGTGCCAGACCAGGAGACCTTCCGGAGGACGGACCCCAACCAAGGCATCCCCCTAACAACTGTCAACACCCTGGAGGGCAAGGGCACAGGTCCCCAACCTCAGGGCACGGGACCCGGGGCACCACCAGACCCTGAGCTCCTCCAGTACTGCCGGACTTCCAACCCCCCCTTGAAAAACAACCAGTACTGGGTGTGACGGGCTCAGGCACAGGGACATGAGCCCAACTGGGGATCCAGACCCTCCTGGAGCAACCACCGGCCACTTCCTCCCGGCTCTCCTCCTTCTCCCTGGGAGCTGGCATCCCACTTGTGCAGGGAGAGCCCTGAGGATCCAGGGGCTGCTGGTCCAGTCCACCCAGGAGCCCCAAATCTCCAGGTGGCTTTGGGCCAGGGAGGGGGACACTGCCCAGTCAGTTGGGGGCAGGCAAAACGCCTGAGCAACTCTGGGGAAAACACTGACTTGGGATGCTCACTGGGGCCACGGTGCTGGAGGGGACCTGGTGGCACTGGTTCCCAGCAAGCCATCAGTGCCTTCTCCATGGGCAGCACCGTTCTTCCCACAGCTTTCCATGCAAAAAAAGGAGGATGAGGAGCAGCTTGTGCTGAGTCAGGCTGGGGGATGAAGCTGCCTAAATCCCCCCCCGGGGCTAAGTGGGCTGAGCCACTGGAGCAGAGGCTTGGAAAAAAAAAACAAACCAACAACCAAACCTCTGTGGCCAACACCAGGGGAATGTCCCCACCCACTTGGAAAAAAAAACCCGCCTTGTTCTTTCTCTGCGTGCTTGCCATGTGTTTCATAAAGCTGATTGCACCAGGCCCCGGGGGGGTTGCACAACAGGTAGGATGTCCTGGTGGGGAGGGATGGATGAATGGATGGCAGGAGAGCTCACCTGGGCACCGTGAAACCAGAGAGGAGAACAGAGAACTGGAGCCAGCGCTGTTTTTCCACTGGATCCTCCAGTAGGGCAGAAGGAAACAGAATAAAGGGCCTCTTCTGAGGTGCATCACTCTTCTCCTGAGCCACCTCCCTTGTGTCACCACTTTCTGCCAGGCCTGGTCCAAGCCCAGCCAGCTGCCCCAGTGCCATTTGGAGGTAATGGACCAAATTCTGGGCTCTTGCTCATTTTTTCCCCAGCCTGGAGTCCTAAAAAACTTAAATAGAAATGATCTTGAGGAAAAGCAGAGGAAAAACTGAGCTCTGAGCTCAGGATGGGACCCAACAATAACAACCAGCATTGCTACAGCTGGGAAGTCCATCACAGGGCCCATCCCACTCCATGGGAAGCAGAACTGAGCCCCCAGGACTGCAGGGGCTGTGTCACACTTTGCAGCCCCTCACCCAGGGTAAAGCCCATCCCCAGTGTCACGGCACCAGTTCTCCCAGACCAGCCCCTGGGGCAGTCCCACCTCGAGGCTCTGGGATGTTTGCTTGGACCACACCAGCAGCTTTTCCAGCTGCATTTATGGTGCCAAATGTTTGCCGAGCAGCAAACCACACCTGCCTGTGGGTGCCAGCATGTCCCACCCAGCACCCACAACCCTCAGGGTGCAGGTAGCCCTGTCCTTCCCTGTTGCTCTGTGTGTGCCCCAGCCCCGACCTGCCCCACAGCACTGGTGAGACAGGGCCCAGCAGCTGCAGCACCTCCAAGCCCTTGGGCAGCCAAGTGGCCAAAACCCACACCCCGCCACCTCTAAAACCCTCCTCCTGCTCCAACCAGAGGGGAAAGATGATGTAAAATGGGGACAGTGTGATCCACACTGACACGGAGGATATTTCCAGGGCGGTGCTGCTCCCAAAAGGCTGGGACAACCTCTCCCTGCCAGGCACAGGGAGTGCCACCACCTCCCTCCCTCTGCCAGATTAACCCAGCTCTGTGCCTTCCTCCCCCTCACCTTCAGCCCAGCAGCTTCAGTGCTGCCTTTGCTCGGCATGTACCCCCTGGTGAGGGATGGCAGGTTTGCAGGGCAGCCCGTGCCATCCACCCAGAGCCCCCTTGGAAGCCTCTGCCATGTTTTCCTTCCCAGCCACTCCTGCCTTGTGCCCAGGGATTAAGTAGAAGGAACGTGGCCTATTTCGTAAGGAGCACTGAAAGAGAAGCAGGTTATTTTTAAGGCTTGCAGTTGTATCCCTGCTGCTGGGAAACATCCACTTCCCAGGGTCAGGGGAGGACAGGCAGTAACCTGGAAAACGCCAGCACAGATCCTGGTTTTCCAGGGCCAAGTTCTCCTGCTGGCAGGGTTTAAATCCTGAACAAAGCTGCTGGCTCCACTTGGGTTACTGGGGGTGTTGGGGCAGGACCAGCCCTCCACCAGCACCCCCTGGGGAAGGGCTGAGGGTCTCAAGACAAACCACAGCTTAAAGCAGCTTGAAAGTTTCCTGGCTGGTCCCTCTTGGCTTCTCAGTGTGGGGAACTAGGGCTGTGAGCTCTGCACCCGGTCAGGACACAGCACAGAGCTCCCTTCTCACCCCAGTTTGGGCCAGAACCTTTCTGATCTGGGTGGTCTTGGGGGTGACAGGCACCAGGCTGCACCCTGCCCTGCTGAGCTGGGGATAAAGCTTGCAGAGGTTTAAGGAAGGGGAAGCTGAAGAGGTTTAGCTGCTCTGCCAGATGCGTTGCCCCCCCCTCCCAAGGCGGGACAGATGTGCACAGCTGGCTGACAAGAGCCAGCCGTGCTCATGAACTCACATGGCCTAATCCTAGGGAGCCAGGGCTGGGTGGCAGAAAGCAGGGTGGGAGCCAGAAGACACCCAGAGACACTGACAAAGGAGAGTGAGCAAGTCTCAGTGAGTCAGGGAGGCATGACAGGATGGAGCTGACAGCCCCAACCTGCCACCACCTCCCAAATGGCAGGAAAAGGCCTATCAAAAGCAAGGCCATCACCAAGCTGATTTACCCAGGAGGTGCAGGGAGCTGAGTTCAGATCAGTCAGACACGAGCAGCACTGTTGTATGGCCAAAGGAGACTGCAGCCCTGCTGCTCCAACACCTCTCCTGAGTCAATAACCACACCAGAATCGTTGTACCAGTTCCAGGAGGAGCCCAAGACACCAAGGATTGTAGGTGGGAATGGACACAGGGCAGGAGGAGAGTCCAACACTGCTCAGGAACCAGTTTCCAGGCACCTATTAAAATACAAACAAATAGGCCAAACAGGTTTCTTCGGGCATCCACCCAGGGCAGATCAGATCACCTGGCTTTGAAACCCTCCCCTCAGCTCTCACCATGCAACGCTGGCGTTCAACAAAGGAGGGGCTTGACTCCCAGCCAGGCTCCAGGCCAGCACAGCCCAGCCTGGCAAAGGGGACTGGGACCCATCATGCTCCCAGCTTCCCAAATCCTCCACTGCTGTGGACCACCACAGCCTACAGGATCTTGTGACAGCACTGCCCACACTGCTCCCAGGGACAGCAGCACACCAAGTGCCTGAACCTTCCTCAGTTCACATAGGCAGACCTGCTGTGTTTTGGGGAAGGCCAAGCGTGATGTCAGGGCTCCTCATGCCCATCCCAAAACTTCACCAGCCCCTGAAGATGTTCTGGATTCCTCTGGGAGCCAGAAGAAGCTCGCTGGGGTCCCCTCAGGGGACACAGGTCACATACCTGAGAAGAGGTCTCCAGGAGTCCCTGCCTGAGGGAACAAGAACTCATTTATTCCAAGGGTGGCCAGGTCCTCCTAAGAGCTTCCCAAATGAGAAGCTCTGGGCCAGACTTTAGGCTAGCTGGTAATTGAGAAACAAGGCTGAGGGACTCTGTGCCAAGCCCCAGGATGCCAGGAGCCTTCCCTCCCTGGTAGGTGCCTGCTGGATTTCAGCATGTCCTGCCCAGCTGGCAGCAAGCCTGGCACCCTGGGTGAGAGCTGGCTGCAGGCATGGCCTCCTGGGAGCACCTGGGGGGAGGTGGAGATAACCAGCCCATGCAGGAACAAGGCTGTCCCCAGAAGTCTGACATCCCCCCACCACCTGAGCTTCCCAGGCCCTGGTGAGCAAAAGGAAGGATGGGGAGAAAAGGACTTGGACACCAGAAAGCATCCCCCAGGCAGCTGCTGCTCTCCAGCCTGGCTGCTGCTGTAAACTGAAGCCAGATTGAGCCCAACCTCCCTTTCCACACCCAGCAACTCCAAGACAATGATGGAGGGACAACCACATCCCAGAGCCCAGCCTCTCCACCCCTCCTCCAAAAACAACACACCCAGAGACACAGCTCCCCAGCAGTGTGGGGAGCTCGGGGAGAGGATCTATCCTGGCACAGGGAGCTGGGACAAGGGCTGCCCCAACAGCACCCTGGGTTGGGGGCCTAGCCTCTGGCAGGGCAGCAGCTGAAGGAGATTCCCAGCACATTTCCCTGGCACAGGCACTGCCAATCCCCCAGCAGTGCCCTGGGCTGGGAGCAGGAGGGAGCATTTATAGTCCCAGCCAAAGGAACCAGCTGGGGCTCGTTGTCTGGCCTGGAAACAGGGTCAGGCTTCGGGAATGTGTGAATTCAGTGATGAAAAGATGTGAGCTGGCAGCCTGAGCTCTGCCCCTGTTTGCTCCCTCCCCTGTGGATCTGCCCAGCACAGCGTGCCCAGCAGGCCCCATCCTGCCCGGGAGCAGCACCCGCGCTCCCCTCGGCCCTGGGAGGAGCTGGCTCAGGCCTCTGGGCTGCTTTGCCATCTCATCCCCGTTTCCTTGTGCTGGGGGAGGCGTCCGTGTGGATCCCTGATGAGCCTGCGCTCATCATGGGGCACCCAGCGCCTTCCCGCCCTTCCCGCAGCACCCTGGCTGCTTCCCACTTGGGAAAGGGGGGTCTTCCCAACCCCAGAGCACCCAGTCCCAGGATGGCAGGGCGATGGGGGCCATGGAGGTGGCTGATCCCACCGGCAGGGCCGGTGCCTGGGCCTTGGCTTTCCCAGGCGCGCGGCCTTGGGAAGCGGGAGGAGGAAGCAGGACCTGCCCCGTGTTCCCAGCGTTTCCTCTCGGCCCTGGGGGTTTATTTTTCCTGCCGTCAACCTGAGCGGGAGCAGGGAACAGCCTGTGCCCTGGGGAAGGGCAGTAACTGAAGCCGCTGGGGCACGTGGAGCCCCCTCCCCACCATCACCCCCCACCCAGCGGTGGGAGCACCGGGGCAGCCACAGGGATCATCCTCCAAACCTCAGTGCTTTTCCAGGATGCCTCTGGAGATGCAGGGGGCAGCAGGAAGATGCTGGAGTCCCCCAGACTGCTGAGACAGAGCCTTAAACTCCTGCCTGTGGGCAAAGAGGGCCCCAGTCACCTGCTGCCCGGTGGCAGGAATGTTAATGGGAAGCTGGTTTTTCCCATGGGTTTGCCATGCTGAGCCAGCCCTAGGGGCACGGTGCAGATGTAGGGGTACACAGTGGGGGTGGCTGGTGGGGCAGGGAGACCTTTGTGGGTGCTGAAGGACCACAGAGAGCACAGGTCTACCCCCAGGGAAACTGAGGCACAGCATCTGGAGGGGTTGTACACAGCATGTAGGGTCCCAGTCCTGTCCCTGTCCCCATGCTGGGGTGCTGGGGTGGTGGATGAGCTCCTGCAGCCCTGGGACATCTCCCTGCTCTGGAGCAGAGGCAGCTCTTTGCAGTTCAGCCTTCACCCAGGATGTGACCAGCCTGGGGTTTGTGGCCCAAATCTGCAAGTGTTTTATCAGGGTGGCTCCGAGGAGGATTAGCTCCTTCACCAGGGCTGCACCCACCCTCCCGACACCACCAGCACCTCTCCCACCCTCCCAGGTCCTCATCCCTCTTCCCGCATCCTGATCCTCCAAAATCTCTCTCTGGGATATCCCATGGACCATGGGGAACCCCAGGCAGGGCACCCCCCTGCCAAGGTGGGTGTGGAGCAGCTGGGATGCTGCAGCCTGCCTGCCTGGGGACAGCAGTGCCCGTTGTGGGAGACCAGGCAGCAGTGGGGCTGCAGGGGGGAAGGATGTGCCACCCCCCAAGGCATCTCTCCCCAGCATGGGGCCAAGTCACCCAGAGCACTGGGACATGAGGCCTTAACCCCTGTGGGGTTAGCACAGGGCTTGGTCTTTTCCCATGGCTGCTGCTGCTGCTGGAGGGGCTGGGGCAGGGTGGGAATGGCATGGGATGGGGTTGGGATGGAGCCAAGGTGGGATGGAGCCAAGCCAGGATACCACAAGTGTGGGATGAGGCTGGAGTGGCATGGGGCTGGGGCGGGATGGAGCCAAGGCAGGATGTGGCCAGTGTGGGATGAGGTGGGATGGGGCTGGGGTGGGATGGAGTTGGGATAGGGGGTGATGGAACCAGAGTAGGATGGGGCCAGGGTGGGATGGGGATGGGGATGGGGGGAGATGGAGCCAGGGTGGGATG